GTAAGAATCACGCGTTATCTTTTCCGTTTCGACTGATGCAGAATTGGCGCGAATCCCTCCGTCGGTTGGGCGAAGCAGACCCCGGCGCGGCGGGTTTCTTTAATACCAACGTCGGCGATTCCAAAATAAATGCAACCTGCTGAGCTCAGTGGCAGCTCTTTACACGCGGTGTCCACGAAACGTGCGTGTGCACTGAATGTAATCTGAAAAAAAGAATAATAACCCGTCGGCATGATTCACACTACACACACACACACACACACACACACACACTCCCACTTGTTTCCTCTGCTCCCTTCAGATGCAAGTCACATGACATCACTCAAGAGGTGCTCTAAAAATCAGTGTGGGTACTGCGTGTGGGTTGGCAACACGCGTGTGTGTGTGCGCGTGTGGTTTGTGCCTGCGTGGGTGAGGGGAATAAAAGCCAAAGCCCCAGAGCCGTGGGCCCGTGATGACTGTGTGTGTGTGTGTGTGTGCGTGTGTGCGGTGTGTGTGCGTGTGCCCAGCCGGCGGCTCTGGTCCCGGGTTGCGCCGCCTCCCACGCCGGGCTACGGCTGGGCCTGAGTGGGAGGGAGGAGTGGGCCGCGGCTGTGAGTCAGCCTGTTGCGGAGCCCCCCAGACAAGAGGCCGCTGAGGGGGGAGAGAGAGAGAGAGAGGGCGGGCGGGGGGGGGAGAGGAGCCCCGCTGGAGTCCTCTCTCCCCCTGCAAGTTCATTGTGAGGAGCATCGGGGAGAGGACACCCTGCAGAAGTTGAAGTCGGGGGGGAGACGGGGGATGGAAACAGAACAGGGGGGGCAGAAGGATGGAGATTGCAGACGTGGCGAAGCGGGGCCGCCGGTGGCAGCCGGAGCACCGGCGGCCCCGTTTGCATCTCCAGTGATGCTCGTTTCCGATCATTTGAAGCGGCGACGCCACCGGGATGAGACGACGAGCCGGTTCCCGGATCGCTCCGAATCCCCGGAATCAACAGAGGGAGGCGGCGACGGCCCGACTGGTGTCTGTCTCCCCCGGAGGCAGATGGCCGCATCAGACGGCGTCCCATCTGCTGGAAGCCGCTCGCTCGCTCGCTCTCCCTCTCTCTCTCTCTCACACTCTGTCTGCTCCCCGAAAACCCGGCTCCGTGTATTCCGCTGTGAAGGACACATTTCACACTTTGCGCATGCAGGTACACAGGCATCGTCGGGGGGGAGGGGGGGGGGGGTTAGTGTCCCTGTCTGTCACCTGAGGGCTCATCGACTCACTGGTGGAGCTGCAGTTGCAAATAGAATGAAAATACGGAGGAAAGTTTAACAAAGAACACACGTTTGGGCTGCAACTGACAATCATATTGATTAACCTGATCGAGCGCTTTGGTCCGTCAGAGTGCTTTCAGGGTGCAGCAGGTGGAAAGATCAACGTCAGTCTAACTACACCCTGTTTTCATTTTAGCTGCATTTCAAAGAGCGGAGTTCATTCCTCGCAGGCGGAGGGCTCCCGGCCGCAATGACCCCGTCAGCTCGGCAGCACCGGCACTTCTGGGCTGGGCCGCTCGCTCCAGGAAACCCGGAGGGAGTCCACCAGTCTGGGGTGATGGGGTGGGGGGGGGGGGGGGGGAAGTGGAGGCGTAGCTGGGGCGGTGGGAAAAGGCGGAGTAAAACATTGGCGTGTGGAAGAGGCGAAGTCGGAGGTGGGATGGGGCGATGTATTAAAAAGAGAAGGAAGGCGAGGAGCGGCAGGGGGAAGGACGGGGGAAGCGAGGAACAGGAAACGCTGGTCAGAGCGGGGATGGCGGGCGGGGGGGTGGAATGTTTCGCAAGAAGCCTTCTCCACCCTGTAGCGTCGGGGGCGAGGGCGTCTGCTGGCTGTCGGTGTAGCCGCTCGGACCGCCTCCGGCCAGCGGGGGAGCTCACGCGTGACACGCACACTGTGACCCCCCTCCCCTCCTTGGCGGGCCGTCACAGGCCGTCGCGTTGTGGGGTGGAAGGGAGACAGGGAGTCTCACGTGTTTCTTTTGGGGGGGAGGGCGGGGGGTTATGTTCTAAAACCTCTATAGGAAGAGGAAGAGGAGGAGGAAGAGGAAGTGCGGACAGGAAAAGAGGTTTGGGGAGGAAGAGGACACACAGGCTGGGGACCCTTTAAATGAGTCACGGCGCTGTCCTCCAATTCCTGACACACACACACACACACACACACACACACACACTGAGGCTATTAAGTCACATTGTAGGACAATTTTAATGATAACTACAATTCTTTTTTATTATATGCTTTTGTGTTTCCCATTGAAGGATAACTGACTCATTCAAACTAAATCCTTTCTGTTTCCGGTGATAATGAGCAGTGTCCATTTACTTAAATACTCTTTCGTGGTTCTTAACTTAAGAAATAAACGTTTGAAGGAGAAAAAGAAGCTGAAAGCTAAAATCATCGTCAAGGAAAAACATGAATATGAGTCCGCTGTAAGCGATGATTGTCCTGTAATACTAACCCAACTGCTGTGAGCTATAACTTAATAAGGGTCCTGGGGGCTTCTTTGAGGTTGGGGGGGTGCAGGTGAGTCACTGAAGGTCCAGCGTTATCACAGGGTAACAAGTACACACACACACACACACACACATTGAACCAGGGGGGCAGTGGAGAGAGATAAGAGAGAGAGTCATGCCTCGCCTGCGTGACCGTGACATCACGGCTGTATCCGTGTGCTCACTGTCGCCCCGTGCTGGAAACACACTGGCCTAATATAGCCAGTGTGGGCCGTGCCGTGCGCACACACACACACACACACGCACACTGGGGCAAGCCGGTTTGTCCTTGGTTGGTTGACAGCATGTGTTTCTACGGAGGTGTGTGTTTAAGTGTGTGTTTGTCGGTGTGCGTGTGTGTGCCATTTTAGTGAATGAACTGACGTCGCTGTTGCGTCTGTCCTTGTCCATCATCAGAGACAGGTGCCTCTAAGGCAGACTGTCCATGCTGCCTCTGTGTGTGTGTGTTTGTGTTATTAAGTGATCATTAAAAAATTCATAATTAAAAACCTTTTTCAGAAATTTAAGACATTTTTTTTCGAATTAATCATATAAATACAACAGTGACAAATAGTTTCAATTTGTGCATTTTGTGTCCTTTCCATGGAAACAGAATGCAGCAATGCAATTTCTGGGACAATTTGAAGGACGTTTACTCGATATCAATGTTTTATCCGTCTCTCTGACGGGATAGAAGTGTATTCCCTCAGTTGGAGTTACTCTGTAACACCGGACACGTTACGTAACAGCTTACTAGCAGATGTCTCAATATGAACAAATTAGCGCTGTCAGCGTTAACGCGTCTAAAATACACGTTTCTCTAAAGTAATTACTCATTATTGTAAGATTTAGTCTTTAGAGGAAAAACAAACATCCATTATAAACAACGTTGTAACAACAACAACAATAGCGATTAATCGCCATTAGCGATTAATCGCCATTAATCGCTATTAAGGCATTTCAAAATGTGCGATTAATTGGTTAATTAATCTATTGACAGCCCTAAAAAAATACACAATAATGAATATTTTAATATTTTAAATAGAGACACGTGTGTTTCTCAAATGCAGTTGGACTTTTCTGTGTAATGGCTGAAGTGTGTGTTTGTGTGAGCATGTGTGTGTGTGTGTGTGTGTGTGTCACTAGCATCAAACTGCTTCTCAAGTCAACCGGTCACAATTCCCATGCCGCCCGGCTGCCTGAGTTCACACCTTTTTGTCCACAGGAATCTCAGGAATCCCCAGCTTCCTCTCCATTGTTAGTGTGTGTGTGTGTGTGTGTGTGTGTGTGCATGAAGGAAGGCCCAGCCTGTGTCGTGCATGTGTGTTGAAACACATCTCCGCCCGTGTATCCACCCAGAGCGGTGCTCAGTGACTGAGTCACATTCTAAAATGGCAAACCACTCAGTTCCAGAAAAACTTTACTGTCCAACCTGAGGAGAGTTTAACGTCAAGTCTTTAAATTGCATCAGGGACAAACAACTCAGTAAATCACAAATCCTATTAAATCTCAATAGGAAAATTCCTGCATATTATTTGTTAGCAGTTTGGTAGCCACGGTTCTCTCTATTCAGCAAAATAAGTGATAAATAGGGATTATTTCTGTATTAAAAATTATTTTTAGTAAAACAGGACTATTTTCATTCTAACATAAAATAATAAATAACAAAATCGGCTAATTTTCATTGGCTGGCGAGGGTTGCCATTCAATAGCAGCTGAATAACAAATCATCTCTAAAGACTGCTGGCAGGGAGCAGCTAGATGAAACTAAAATAGCTTCGAACATAAACATTGATTGTTTTTTAAGAGAAACCATTTTCTTTTCACCATCTTAACGAGAAGCGACTACTGCCCGGACAGCTCGTACAAATGCTCCTCCTCGGTGACTCCTGCAGGTTAACGTCGGCAGGTCTGGAGTCAGTTACCCCCCCCCGCCCCCCCATCTGCACGACACAACACGGGACTCAATGAGAATCACACAGAAAAGCCATTAAGAGGCCGACACACGACCGGCTGTGATTCACCGCACTCTCACTTCTATCCACATGCACACGCCAACCACAGAGGGGAGAGGGGGGGGTCAAAGCCTCTGCTTCATGAGATGTTTCCTCCGTGGTGGAGCAATAACAATATGGAATGCTGGGATATCTTTAAAAAACAAAAGGACCTCAGAATCAGACGCTGATTCCTGCGCGTGTAAAAGCGCACGTTTCTCTGAATTCATTGAATACTTTGAGGTGTATCATCGATGCGTCACAAGATGCCGAAGGGACCTCGAGGTTGTTTAACGAGAGGGCGGCGTCTGTTCAAATATTACTTAACTCGTTACATGACTCACTGAGGTTACTTGAATACTCATGAATGGAGCGCGACAAAGGCGGTTCTCCAGCCCCACCAAGGCCTCAGTGTGTGTCTGTGTGTGTGTGTGTAACCGGAACGAGGCATGGGCGCAGCGTGGCCTTTGATGAGTCACGAGGCATCCTGTGAGTAACGAAC